CCTGCCAACATCTTGGCTTCAGCCCACTGAGACCCATTTCAGAGTTCTCACATTTGAGAACTACGAGATAATAAACTGGTGTTTTGTGTAGCCACCAAGGTTGTGGAAATGTATTATGACAGCAATGGGAAACAAATGTATATGCACACTTTAGGCCCTGTTGCTGCATTGCACCGTTCCTCAGGAGCTGAGTGGCAGGCGCACATTTTCTATTCACTACGGTTATCACCTCTTCCTACTTTTTACATCATGACACCTAAAACAGTCATTCAATACCTAGATGACCATAAGAATTACTAACAGTATTATGTGTAATATTAAAGGCTTTTTTTATCAAATAAAAGCATTGAGAAAATGTGTTCATGATTGAATAAAACTGTAGAGTATGTCTACAATATAGAGCCCATAAAATTGTAGTTTAAGGTCCAGCTGCAGCTTTAAGTGCAGTGTTGCTGAGAAGAAATATTTCGATGCACTATGGCAAGTTTTTAGTGGGCTAGATAATCGTATTAAAGTAGAATATACAAGCATTATATGGCACCCTAAACTGAAAACTGAAAGAAAGGTTGAGCATTGACAGTTATCCACAGACAACTGAGCTAATCAAGCATGTGTTCTTCATCCTGTTATTTAAGAGTATCTGATAGTAAGTTCTTGCAAAATGAACAATTCCATATGTCCAATACCATCCATTTATATGTGCTTTACAAGCCTGAAAAGATACTGCTGAGTGTTCTTTTCCTCAACCAAATTCAGAAGTTTGCAGCTTTTTTACAATCACAGAACTGCTTTGTTTTAGCCTGAAAGCTTTGGGGAATATTTTTGCTGTAGCTAGTGAAATGATCATTTCAGAATTAGTGTGACTTACAAATAGGTAAAAGGAAATCTAGGCTGCAATGATTTAAAAACAAAATAGACTCAAAGAAGTAAGACCGGATGCCAATAGGATTCTGCTTTTGTAAGCTGAATGAAACCACTGGATCCCTGTGACCCCAGAAAAGGCTTCCACATCTATGTCTTAGTTACTCAGGATGTGCCAAGAGAGATAGGACTAAGCCCAGATGCTGCCCTGTCACTGAACTTTTGGATAAAAACTCAGGATACAATCACTGTTCAGACTCTTCCGAACAGCTTAAAGGCAAATTACATTTCAAAAGGAGTACTATTTTGTACAACACCTCAAAATGTAATTTCATAAAACTGTTTTAGCACTTCTTTTCCTCTACAACAATTATTGTCTTGCAAAGAGCCATGATTTTTTTTCTTGAGATAATGATAATGGAAGTCTAATAGATGGCATCATGATGAAATTCCTTCCTAATTTCCTCATTCAGTAGTTCAGTCTTAAATTGCCACAGACTTGTTATTCTGTTTCTGAATCTCTCCCTCAGAATGGCTGCCAATCAAGTTAATCTACTGAATATGAAGTTTCTGTGATGAAACTCCAACTTGTTTTGTAGCTAAAAGCATCTGCGTTTATGAACTTATCAAAGTCAAATATGAACCCAAACAAATGATAGAAATTTGAAAACTCACTGTTCCATAGCCCTTTGGTTTTAAATTGAATAAATTATCCCAAGACCTGTTCATGAAGTCCTGTAAAGGAATAACTGCTTGAGTTTTTCTCCCTGCTGTGAATTCACTCTCTAAAATGGCTACTTTTAAAGCCATTAGCCTTTTTAGTAATTAAATTTCAATCACCAAGGGAGACTCCAAATTCAAGTACAGAGCTAATATTCATTGAATCACTGCTATTTGGCAAGCATTTTCCAAGGCACTTTAAATATGCTTTTTATTTAACAACTTTAATAGGTATGTATTTTTTTCTCCCATTTGAAGATTAGAAAACCAAGGCCCAAGGAGGTTACACAGGCCAACAGGTAAATAGACTCCCTGCTACTTACCTGACTCCCTGCTCCTTCCATTAACACCAGTGTAAGCCCCTCAGACTATCCACTTTTATATGGATGGTGCTGCAAAGAACCTCAGCCAATTCTAGCATCTGGAACTTTCAAATTCCCCTCACAAGCTAAGGTTGTAATTGTTTCTGCAATTTTCAGTTAGTACCTGAAATATTTTATATTATAAACATTTTATATTACAAACATTTTAAAACAGTTTTACATATAAAAATACACTCTCGTTTATTACTTTCAAATACTGCCTGATTTTCTGAATAAGAGGCCATCATGGATTCACTTTTTTGTAAGCCTTTGTAGATTGCTGATATTTCTGTATCTTTTTCGCAATGGCATGCTCATGGTCACTATATGTCTCTGTCTTTAATATGGTATTACTTTCAGAGGATTCTGGAAGGTTCAGTTTTCAGGAACAATGTAGTACAGCTGGGCAATTAATTAGAAATACTAAAATAAGCCTCTTCTACTTTCTAATTTCTTTTTGTTCACAGCATTTCTTTGACATGCACATTTTTTAATTAATAATTTTCTTATAAATTTATTACAGTATCGTATAGTTCATGTTTTGCAAAGAAAATTGAGAAAACATAAAAAGAACATTTAAAATCTCATGACCAAAAAATTAGTGTTAATATCATATGCATATCCTGCTAATCCTTTTCATTCTAGATAGAGAAATACTTTTTTTAAAACAAAATATATACACTGTTTACAATAGCAAAGACCTGGAACTAACCCAAATGCCCATCGATGATAGACTGGACAGGGAAAATGTGGCACAAATACACCATGGAATATTATGCAGCCATCAGAAACGGTGAGTTTGTGTCCTTTGTAGGGACATGGATGAATCTGTAGACCATCATTCTCAGCAAACTGACAAAAGAACAGAAAATGAAATACCACATGTTCTCACTCATAGGCGGGTGTTGAACAATGAGAACACATGGACACAGGGAGGGGAGCACTACACACTGGGGTCTGTTTGGGGAATAGGGGAGGGATAGCAGGGAGTGGGGAGTTGGGGAGAGATAGCATGGGGAGAAATGCCAGATATAGGTGAAGGGGAGGAAGGCAGCAAATCACACTGCCACATGTGTACCTATGCAACAATCTTGCATATTCTGCACATGTACCCCAATACCTAAAATGCAATTAAAAAAAAACAAAATATAAAATATGATCTTGTATTCTCTTTTTCCACTTATCAGAGATCATTTTCCATGTAATTAAATATTATTTTACATCACCATTTAAAAGTGTCTCCTTGGCATTCCATCATTTGAACAAAGCATAATTCAATTACAACTAACTTGCTATTCTTGAAGATAAAGGTGTTACCAACTTCTTGCTGTTACAAAATAGAATTGTTCATGCTTCATATGAAAGACACTCCCAACAGCACTCAAGAAAATGATTCATATATTCCACATTCTAACAAAGACTGGCCATTATGTTTGTTTAAAATATTTGTCAATGTGATCATCCAAATGGTAATTTATTTATTTAATTCACTTATGCCACGAGTTCTCCTCTTGCTGATCTATACTTGCAATGGTGACCTACACCTCAGAGCAACAAAAGTGATTTATGGTGAATCATGACTAAAATACATTTATCAGCCCTTCCCATTCCTCAAAGTGGAGTGATAATGGCACTAGCAGCCCTGCTGACTCAATGAGGTAGACAGATTAAAAGAAAAAAAGCACTTAGAAAAACAGATACTTTACAGGGGAAGGACGCATATATGGCTAAGTGCACACCATGCAGCCATCTCTCTCTCTCCTTTCTTTTACTGAACGGTGCTTTTACTGAATTGACAAAGAGGGCACTGGGTTCATAAATAGACTAACAGCACTTTCAGAGCACTTCCTTTCAATTATCATGAATTAACTTTAAAAACAGCATTAACTTTTCAGCATATACAATGCACCCAAGAACAACAACATAGTTATTAGTTTGTTCTCTCTCATTGAACTTTTCCCCCTTTTTGCTTGAAACTGGTATGTAGCCTTCAAGAAAAGACTTCTAGTTCTACTGATTGGCTGTCACTTAGTCGTCAAAACTGTGTGGTGTGTCGAAGACTGTCTCTAGCTTGAAATGGCTGCTTGGTTGGACAGCTAGGATTTCTGAGGGAAAAGTACAGCCCATTTCTGCACAAAAATGTAGATAAAGAAGTTTTAGAGAAAAATCCGTTTCCCTGGCAACTTCACCTTGATGCTGTGGGTCTTCAGATCTACAGGTTTGAATCTTTAATCACTCATCTGAAGATGATCAGTGATTAGTTTATAATCCACAATTATAGTTTAGCAATTTATATTTAATAATTCTAGAGTCAAAAAAACTGTGCATTTCATTTACAGGCCTTCTTCTTGTCATCAAAATACTTCAAAAAAGATTGTAATTATGTTAAGCCAATTATTTAATTAAAGGGAATAATATCAGAATCAGTTAAGAGGCTTTTCTTAAACTATTCATCTCTGTATTTTTTCACTACTTCACCTAGACTTTCTAGTATTATCCAGCAACTGCTGACACAAGTATCTGTTACCAATATGATATGAAGTGGCACTCCTCCACTGTGGTGAAACAGATAAGAATGCATTAAAGTATCAAGGCAAAGGTACTAAGTTGTTTCATGTATTATTCCAATCAGATTTTAGCAAGAGGCAATGCCAATGAATAAGCACTGATTGTGTGCCAGGCACTAGGAGAGGTGATTTTATTTATTACTCACAACTATCCTGTGCTGTGATTAACCTCACTTCAAAGATGAGGAAAGAGAACAGGTTTAGCCATATTTCCAAAAACAGATGATTAACAAGAGGCAACATGGTACCCAATGCATGCCTCCAGAGTTTAAAATCAAGTATTAAGTTAGTTTTATAGTACAGAATACACTTTTCTAGTTGCCAAACCCTTAGATCCACTAGGTAGGAGTACCTTCCCAATTTGAAGATAAATGACTTCTTTACAGTTTCTTTATTTCTAATATCCCTTATGATCTGCCAGTCAAAGCACATCTTACTTTAACATCCCTCAAGACTGGTGAGAATTTATGCGTGTGGGAGGGGAGGAGCCATTGTTTCTGGAGGTCCTGCAATACCAGGTGCAGGACCTTCTAGGCATGAAGTGGGCAGAGCAAGCTCCTGTTTCTTCTCCCTGTTCAAAAATACATTAAATATGCTATCCTCAGATAGAGGAGACATCAGATCTTAAACTGATAAAGATAGATACTCTACTTGATCTTAGCCAAATGGTTGAGAAGTGATTGATGAGGAATCTTATATTGGTGATATTTCAGATAGTATCTGAAAGATAACATAATCATTTTACTGAGATTTAAAAGATGCCTGAGCCATTCTAGGAGTCCATCAGCAATATATGCAATCTCTGTTTTTAGGTGGTAATATATCTGTAGATGCAAATCCCATCTATTTGAATAGATCAACTTCGTTTTTATCAGGTGACAATTTTTAACTGAGTACATAAATTCTACAGCCACATCTACAGTGCCCATACACACTAAACTTTTCAGTAAAGCTCTGATTACAAACATCATCCTCTTTAATCATATACTCTACTATTTAAATTTTAAAATTCAATGTTTTTAAAAAGTCTTATTTAGAAGTTATGCTCCTTTCTCATCAAGAAGAAAGTTGCAAAGGTAAGAAATAGCAGAATGAGAAATAGGACCTAATCTCTATATAACACTCAACCAATAATCAATAGACTACAGCAGAATTTTTAAAAAGCAAGAGAACAAATTAATTAGTACATATAATTCATCATTTTGAAGTTTGTCACTAGTTTAGCAAAAGGCAATATTAATTTTTCAGCTATCTTCCTTTCATTTCGGTTATTTATCACATGCCACACAAAGAGATCCCAAACAACTGTATACAGGACATTTTGCTGGCCTGTATTAGATTTGATTTCTGGTGAATAGGACAATGCTTCATGCTTTATAATGAAAGAGTGTTCCTTAAAAGCACACTTAACAGAGCAGAGATTTTTTTCAGATTGTAATTATTATTACTAAGAGTATTTCTTGGGGAAACATCTGCCCCTACTGATGAGAAGGACAAGACTCACTTATGTCCTACCTTGTAAGTCCTTGAGCTCAGAAAAATGAACAAAGGAAACTTTCAAACCTTGTTTCAAAAAAAGGTTAAAAGAAAAGTCTGCTATAATAAATTTTGATATTAACATGCAAGGTTAAACACTATAAAGGAAAATATATATATTTTTATGAAATCAACAATTACAGTAACATCTTGAAATCTATTTTAAGTAACTTTTAAATTTTACTAAACTCACTCAGGATACACTCAATGTCTTCTCTTGGACTTATCTGACTCCAGGTTTGCACATAGCTTTCTTCAAACTGGGCTTTCCACTTCTACCCCTAAATTTTTTTTTATTTTCATTCATTTTTCAGTTTTAGTTTTTTGTTATTTCCCCAAAGCATGATACTTTGAATTAGGATATTCTCTACTTAGGATCTCTTCAATTTTTTGTTAAAAGTTCCTGTATATGGGCCAGGCATAGTGGCTCGTGCCTGTAATCCCAGCATTCTGGGAGGATTAGGTGGACGGATGGCTTGAGCCCAGGGTTTTGAGACCAGCCTGGGCAACGTGGCAAAACCCTGTCTCTACAAAAAAATACAAAAATTGGCCAGGCATGATATCACACACCTATAGTCCCAGCTACTCTGAAGGCTGAGGCAGGAAGATCAATTGAGTCTAGGAGGTCATAGCTGCAATAAGTTATGATCATACCATTGCACTCCAGCCTCGATGACAAAATGAGACCTTGTATCAAAACAAACAAACAAACAAAAAAACGAGTTCATGCATATGATTAACATGAAGCACAGCACACTCAACCAGTTTTCTTTCATAGAGAGGAAAGTTTCTCCTCAGTTCCAACTGTTAGGCATAAGGAGAATCAGATGTGGATGATAAGAAAAGGTCTTTGTTCATGTGTGAAGAAGTCACTAAAAGCCACCCTTTCTAATCCTCTCAAGCCATCTTCTGCCACACTCACTCAATACTTTATAAATTACTTATAGCATACACCATACCAGACACTGTTGCTCAAAATAAGAAATGGTCTCAGATGGCAGAAAGCATATTCTATGCATCTTGGAATCCTAGTTCTTAATAGGTAGCCTAAATTATAAGTTGGAGTCTAACCAAATTATTTTTCTCAGATATTTACTCATAAAAAGTAACACAAACAAACAAAACTTCTGGCTTTTGCTTAAAGAACAAAGCTTGTGGAAAGACAGCAATGTGAACAGCATTAATACTACCAGAAAAAAATTGGGAAATGCTTTGAAAAGTGCAAAAACACTGCTGGATGTACTGTCCAGCATGCCTTTCTTGGTCACCTCTGCCTTCCATTGCATTTGAGCTATTTTATAGCCCTGCAAATTGCAGAAAATTGGTAATAATGCAAATTACTCCTCTCTGTAGAAATGCAAATGGACAGAGTCCTGAGGAAAGCAATTCTTTATTACCTTGTGGACACAGCAGTTTTGCATGTATTTGGACATTCATTTCACCTTTCCTTATTGCTCATTTATATGTTTCTTTAAATTCATCTCTGAGTTCATTGTAACATCTTACCAGTTATCTCATTAATTAATGAGTCAAAATCTTGGGCATATGTCCATTTTACATTTATATGTACTGTAATTTTATTTTTAAATTATCTTTTAACAACACACTTTTAATTTTGTTCCTAGCTATGTAATTCAAGTTAAGTGTTTCCATAAACTTCATAAGTAGACTTAGAGACCTTATTCACTTTTTCATGGAATAGTGAACATATGAGGCTCTTGCATAGTACCAGATTATAATTAATATATACTATAAAAGCAAATTTATAAAATAATGAAATAAAGTATCATTTTTAATGTTTTTTTTTTTGCTACAAATGAGAACATAAGACTCAGGGTATTTAAATCATAATCATCAATAAGAGAGGACAGGCCAGGCACAGGGGTTCACGCCTATAATCCCAGCACTTTAGGAGCCTGAGACAGGAGAATCACTAAGCTCAGAAGTTTGAGACCAGCCTGGACAACATAGCAAGACCCAATATTTCAAAACAATTAAATTAAATAAATTAGTTGGGTGCAGGGTGTATGTCTGTAGTCAGAGCAACTCGAGAAGCTGAGGCGGCAGTATTGCTTAAGCCTAGGAGCTAAAGGCTACAGTGAGCTATGATCCTGCCATAGCACTCCAGTGTGGGCAACAGAGAAATACTTTGTCTCTTATAAAAAAAGGACAGGGTGGGTGCAGTAGCTTATACTTATAATTCCAGCACTTAGGAGGCTGAGGCAGGCAGATCACCTGAGGCCAGGAGCTTGAGCCCAGCCTGGCCAACATGGTGAAATCCCATCTCTACTAAAAATAAAAATAAAAACAAAAATAAAGAACTTAGCTGGCATGGTGTGGGTGCCTGTAATCCCAGCAACTTGAGAGGCTGAGGCAGGAGAATCACTTGAACCCAGGAGACAGAGGTTGTAGTGAGCCAAGATTGCGCCACTGCACTCCAGCCTGGGCAATAAGAGTGAAACTCCATCTCAAAAACAAAACAAAACAAGACAGAATTCTACTTCTATTTATGTTTGCTAAAAGAACATTTTCCAAATTCATCTCTTCTAATCTATCTAAACACTAAACAGACCCATACATTGTACTCTTATTTTTCTTCTCTAAATAAAGAAGTTTTAAAAATTTTTTTTAAACATTTTAATAAAAAAAACTAGAATTATTCAGAACTAATAAAGAAAACTAGAATGGCACCAATGGTTTGCCTGTGAAAATCTTCACTTTGAGAAACAATCAGCATGATAAAGGACAAATTTGTCTTTTAGAGATCTCCTGTATAATAAAATGTTAATCAGCAGACTCCAAAACCATTCTCCACACGATTAGGTTGATCGTGATATCCTGGCAAATTTCCAAAGAAAAAAAATTTGGAAGATTGGAGGATACTCTCTTTGAGGCAGCTAACACGTGCATGTGTGTGCATGTGTATGTGTGTGCAGGATATTCACAGTTATTCTCTCAGGTCCTTTTTTGCCACAGTGGAAATAAACCCATCATTGGGAATTGGGTAAAACTAGAACATACTCTGCAATTTTATAAAGCACCCAGAGCACAGAAAAGGTTCTGCACAAAACTTTTTCCAACTTGCTTCATTAAGCCACTAAACCATGAGGGTCCTTCAGGAGAAATCAAACAACTGTTGGGCTTAGCCAACCAGACTGAAGACAAGAGGGGCTTAGAAGTGTGCCTGAAGTTTTGGGATATATTCACTCTGAAAGTACTTATAAAAAGTTTTCAGATTTATGTAGAGCTTCTAGCACAGACATACAAATGTTGAACCACAGAACTAGTTGTTTCTGTACTTTATTATTTGTTTCATCAAAAGTTTTTGAAGGTCTCTTCACGTAATCTCAAAACAATAAAATTACCACAGTTAATCTTTACACAAATAAATTGTTTCAATGCATATGTGTAAGTGGTCCAGGAAACCACAGTAAAAAACAAATTTGATGAACAGTTAGCTTTTTGGTAGGCAAACATTAAAGCCAAATGGTAGTGTTACCTGCTTCATCGTTTAACAAGAAGTATTAGACTATAACACGGAAAAAAGAAAAGTAACCCTGAATGAGAAATGGCAGGTCATAAAATATTAGATGTACCATTTCATCTCCAGATAGCATTTCTAAGCAAACAAAGAATGTTCTGTTTTGCCATGAGATAGTAAAGGAATCTCATTATCTCATGCAGTTAGATGGACAATCTCTGAACAGCTGAGTCATGAAGCATTTCAAAGTGGCAGATGACCTTATTATCCAAAACTTAGAGAAGGCGATAATGACTCAAGAGATGAATGTACTGGGTGTCATTTTCTGGGATTATCAATTTTAATTAACAGAAATTATCCAGCAGAACAAATAGCTATCCAATGCATAAGAATGTACCTTAAAAAAAAAAAAAAACTAAGACAATGAATTCAGTCCTTGCTAACTATCTATGCATAGATAATTACAAAATGGAGATAGGGGTTAAAAGCCTTGGCCAAATATATTTATTTTGTAAGAAATAGACTTGTCCTCAGGTAATTAATATAGGCAAGTTCATTATGTGAGGTTTAATAGAAATAATTTCAATTTGACCTGATTGCTATGTGTTTGACAGAAAAAAAAACATATGTAGTTCTTCTACTCATTAACAATTAAAATAATCTC